CCTCAGGCTGTGAGGAGCCAGGCCGCCCAGGGGACCCCACTGGTGGTCCCAGGCTTTCGGTCACAGAGACACGGGACTGCCCACGCCTCCAGATGACCCCAGCGCCCAGCTGTGCCGTCACCCCCGCCCTCCAGGCTTCCCAGCTGAGGTCCAGACTCTGTGGGCCAGAGACAAGCCATCCCCCATTCCCTGGCCAAACCCCCCACCTCCGAATCTGGAAGCCCAACGAAATGACTGCTAACTCCTGGAGCAACGTGTTACACAGCAGGAGTGACCGAGACGCCACCTGTTTCAGCCACAGCTTGACTTGACATCTGCACCCAAGAGATGCAGAGCTTTGGGCAAGAGAGACTGTTCCGGGGACGTGATCCCACGAAACACCTTCTGTTTTCTCACGCTAAAGAGAAAGTACTTTGCTGGTCCGAGGCTTGCCTCCGCCCTGTTACAGGTGAGGCGTGTTGGCATCACTCACCAGACTCAGGGGCGTGCCATCCTCTGCCCAGCCTGGCTGAGCCTGGCAGGTGGGTGGCCCTGGTTAGCCACCTCAGTTGATGCTGCCCTGGGCCCTGATTAATCACGTGGCAGCAAAGCCTCTTTGTGGGTTTTCTCAGATTCCTGAGCTGTTTTGCCCTCCTGGCCTTCAGGTGCCTCAGGCAGCCCTGCGTGGACGAGCCCAGTCTGCCTCTGAACCTGACACCGCATTCAAGTCGGGGAAGGAGGGAGTGTGCAGAGCGGAGCTGCAGCTGGTGTTCAATTTAGAGAATGTCCGTTGCAATAAACACACCCAGACACAATTCTCCCAGGGTGTTTGACAGAATCTCTGGAGGCCAACTTCCCACATCATGTTTTCTGGCAAAAACACAGTCCTTACGTCTTTATTCTGGAAGAAGGAGATTTACTTCCTTAATAATGGGAGTCGCGATATCACGAGTGTGTGGCGTGCTAGAGTTTGCAGCACCATTCCGTCCTGAGAGCAGTTTAATTGACAACTTGAGATTTAACATAGCAAAGCTATGAAACATCTGGGGAACTCGAGGAATGCATGTTTTTATAGCCTGAAGGCTACCAGCAGTTTGATAAACATAAGATGCGGATAATTTAAATGTTTAAGCATTTAATTACTAGTGAATGGGGATGTTCTGTTTTATGTTGTGTAGCTTATTATTTCATAAGTTTTCATTTAAGCATCGGGAACAGGAGCCAACTTCCTGTCTCCAAGTGTCTCTCTTCCTGGTTATTCTTCTGAAGGCAGCGCCTGGGGGGGAGCCCGCATGGCCGCAGAGCAGATGCTGACTCTCTGCCACCAATGTGTTGACGAGACTCGCACCTCTCCGGCAAGACCTATCTCCTCCTGGCCCCCCCGAGCATCCGTGCCTACGGAGCCCAAGACCACGACCCGCCGGAGCTCCCTGGGTACTGCCAACAGCCTGGAGACGCCACGCCAAGACCCAGAGACGGAGAAGGACCAGTCCCAACCCTTCATCAATTCAGACAGGAAATCTGCCAGCGAGGTGGGCTTTTAAACGTCTTTATGTGGGTATCCACAGATGCACACTTCAATAAAATTGCACGTGCATGCAATACGGCGCCACACAAACTGTATTTTAAAATCTAGTTGCTTTTCTCTCCACTTTCATATCTGTCTCTCTCCCTGCTGACCGCTTCTCCGCCCACCCCCAGCTCTCCCACCTGCCCCCAGGTAACCAGGTGGAAAATATCACATGAGTGTGTCTGTATTTTTCTCTTCAATCACATACATGTAAAGGTACCGCTGTTTAGGCAAACATCCATCTAGAGGGGTTTTGCCTTGTCTGTGGTCCAAAAGTAGGAATGGGACACGCACATCCTTCTGAGTCTGGCTCTTCCTTCTCCTGAGGAACCCCAGACGCCCTCTGAGCCCCGATGCGCTCTTGGTCTTCCTTGGCTGGTCCTCGGTGTCTGCCCCCTCTGCCGGCTCTCAGCTCTCGAGGTTCCCAGGGCTTTGACTCCGTGAGCCGGTGCCAGACAGCATTCCGGAACAGGAGCCCTGCTGGGCTCATGAGTCGTCCTGCAGGAGACAGACACGCAGTAACATCCCTGGGTCACAGGACACGGGGACGTTCGATGGTAGCAGTCGATGCAGGATGAGCCATCCGTGGGCCGCAGGGGCCCACGCACAGACGCTGTGACCGCGGTGCGTGCAGGCAGAGGGGTGGGGGGCCCCCAGCTCACCCCTTTGCAGCCCCACTCTCAACTCTCATTTGCTGGCTGTGGACGCAACAGTCTCCAAGCGGGAAGAGGGCGAGAGGTAAGGTTTTAAACTCGACACAGACGTTAGGGACTATACTGCCGCCGTGATTCCAGAGTCTGAACGGACTTACAAGGCTCAGCCCAGCTGCCAGCCGATCACCGCCTCATCACACCGCAGACGAGAAGCCAGCCCTGGAGGTCCCCCCAGCAGCAGCATCACCATGCCAGCGCCCAGGACCTCAGTCCCTGCTGGACAAGCCCCCTGGGCTGCCGTGCGCCCGTCCCTGCCCACGATGGCAGCCTGCTGTCTTCCAGGGCAGGGCGCAGAGCAGCCACCGTCCCCCAGGGCAGACCCCCCCACCGCACCCCGCCCTGCTGGTTGGGTGACAGATACTCTGCGGCGGACGCTCGGGTGGGGTGTGGGGAGGGGGGTCATGTGAGAGGTCTGGGAAGATGACAGCGGTGACCCGCTCTTCACAGGGGGCAGAGGGACAGGGAGCAGGCTGCGGCAGGCCTGCTGCGGGAGGGGACAGAGGGGACAGCCCACCTGGGCCAGCGCGCAATCCACCAGAGGGGTAGCCAGGGAGGAGGCTGGGGCTTAGGAGGCCCGGGGCTGCCCTACTGGGCAGGACCCCAGCGGGGTGTGGGGGTCCCACCAGGGTGGCGGGTTCCCCCAGGAACCCCGGCCCCTGAGCGAGTGGAAAGGCCCGGCCTGGTCAGTTCCCCGCACCAGGGGAGCGGCGTGCCCGGCAGGACCAGAGCGCCATCACAGCATCACGTGCCCTCCAGACCCACCCCAAGTCAGACTTGACACGCAGCGTCCCCAAGGTTGCGCAACTTTTAAATCTGCTCACCTGCACAAAATGACAGTCAAAGAGGAGACAGCACCAGGGCCAAGAACAGGTCACAGGCCTGACTCTTACCCCCGACTGTCCGTGACATCATATTGAAGAGCAGTTTCCGGTTATTGACAGCAATACTTAATCCTCCACAATCCAGCTAAGCGCCCATGGCAGAGTCCACGCGTCACTACGGAGGCCTCTGGGCGAGGCTGGGGGCAGCTACTTGGTGCAGGACACTGGGGAGAAACCAGCTCACAACACTAATAATGGGGCTGGAAAAGAGGCTCATTTGGAGCCTGAATGGACAATGGAAAGGCCCACAGTCACTGCTTAAATTCTTTTAAACTCGCACAATCCTGGGGGAATCTGAAGCACAGAAGGGCCAGGCGAAGGTGCAGAGAGACGGATGCGCTGTGTCCGGCCTGCGCCTCCCAGCCTGGCCGTGGCCCGGCCCCTCCCGTGTCCACCCCAGGTAAACACCTCAAGATGGCCAAGGCCCAGGGCCACAGACAGGCTCCTCTGAGCCCCCGCACCATCCCCTGACTGAGGAGGCTGCAGCAGATGCCTCCCTGCAGGGAGTCAGCACTCAGGGACCTTCCTGCTGTGCAACAGGCATGCTCCCTCCTTCCCACACCCACCCCCAGGGGGCCCACCACCCACCAGCCCCCTGAAACAAGTCATTCTAATTCAGTCTCATTCTAAGATTAGGAAACATGCTGTCTGGTTCTCAAAGACTTGGTGTTGCCACCTGATGTGTACAAGTGACTCACTGGAAAAGACCCTGATGCTGGGAAAGGGTGAAGAAGGGAGGAGAAGCGGACGACAGAGGATGAGATGGTTGGATGGCATCACCGACTCAATGGACATGAGTTTGAGAAAACTCTGGGAGGTAGTGAAGGACAGAAAAACCCAGCATGCTGCAGTCCACGGGGTCTCAAAGAGTTGGACACGACTGAGTGATTGAAATGAACTGACTGATTGTAAGACGTCACCTGATCCTCTCGGAGGACGTTGCATTTTGTTTTGTGGGCAGCCCACACTTGATGCCAACTACACACAGAGCTTCTGTGAGCTCTGTAAACATTGGGTGCTGTCCTGGAAGCAGCGATTCCAATATTTAACACGGTCACCCACGCGGCCCTACGGTACAGCACAGCGCAGTCTGGTCAGGGTCATGTGGCAGCCCGGACCAGAGGGGAGTGAAGGGGAGAATGGACACGGGTACCTGTGTGGCTGAGTCCCCTCACCGTCCACCCAAAACCATCACACTGTCCACCAGTTGTACTACTCCATCAAATAAAAAGTTCTAAGAAAAGGAGCAATTCCAGGGTCTTCCCAGGTCATGCCATGCGCAAGAATCCGCCTGCAGTGCAGGGAACACAGATTCCACTCCTGGTCTGAGAAGATCCCACGTCGGAGCCACTGGGAGCGACCAAGCCCGTGCACCTCAGCCGCGGAGCCCGCGCACTGGGGCCGGGAGCCGGGACCGCGGGGCCCGCGCACTGGGGCCGGGAGCCGGAGCCACGGAGCCCACGTGCTTCGCCTCAACTAGAGAAAGCCCACACACAGCGTGAAGACCCAGCATAGCCATAAAGAAATAAGTAATTTTTAAGAAATAAAATTTTTCTTTTTTTTTAAGGCAATTCCAAATTGAAATCAACAATGTGAAGGCAGGAGAATCTATGTGCCACATTTATTCCCTTCAGGACACGGGTTCCCCTAAAGCAGAAAAACACCAGAAGTGGTCTTTGGTTTGATTTTCAGATCATCAAACTAAATAAATGGCTTTTCTACACTTTACAGCTGACTTTATGCCCGCTGTAATGAGCCCTCTGTGAGGTGAAATAGGGGTGCTCAATAAGCAATGCCCACACTTGATGCCAAAGCTGCCCGTCGAGACGTCGCCTCTTTGGGTGCTGGAGGAGGACATCAGCCCAGCTGTATCTCAGCCACTGGAAGATGCTTGGCCACAGGGCCGCCGGACACGTCCAGGCCCACCGGCCCAGGCAGGGCGAGCTGGGCCGGGCAGCGGGAGGCCCGCCCAATGCGGCACTGACCACTCCCCGTGAGGTGCGCCTGCCCTCTGCCTGGAGAGGGGGACAGGAGGGGCGGGAGGAGCTGGGGGTGCTCCCTCCTAGAACTGGCCAGACCACAGTGATTCCATCAAGCACCCACTGATCCCCACCCCAGGGGTGGGAAGGGAGCCCCCACACCTGCCCGCCTGCACCAGGCTCTCGCCCCTGAAACACCCGTAAAATCAGGGACTCAGCACTGACCCAGGGCCGCTCCACACCTACCTGCCCCTTGAGACCTCAGAGGCCCATGCCTCTCCCTCCCCGAGAACAAAAGGATGGAAGGCATTCGCTTCAAAATGCACATTCTCCGAAGTCCCCAGGGGGGCAGCCGGTGGCTCTGGCGGCCCCCTCGCCCTCTGTTAGGGGTGGGGTGCACTGTCCCGGGCGGTGTAGCTGATGTCCAGCACCGGTGCTGGTGATGACCATCCACACTGGGGCTAAGCAGGATTCGGGGTGGGGGGGCAGGGGCCTCCCCAGGAGCACGAGGACCCACTGACTCAGCCACAGCCATGAGGCCCACTCAGGTCAGCTCCTGCTGGGGAGGACCCGGGACTCGGGCCCTGAGCGGTGGGTTCCAGACAGCAGGCCCGGGCCTCCCGCCCGACATGCCCCCCGAGAGCCCCCAGCGGCCCCTCAGTTTCTGCTCCACCAACTCGAGCCCTCGGTCTCGCTTCGACCCCAGGGTCACTCCAAGTGACCAGTGCTTTCTGTCTCATTTAAACCAAGGCCATGAGATTAGACAATCTGACCAGCTAGACTTTTACACTGAACCTGAAGTCAGGTCACAGACCCGCCTGGTGCCCTTGACGCCCATCACGGCCGCTGTGCCCAGGAGAAGCTGCCGGAAGGACGGCTTTCCCAGGAGTGAGAGCTCAGCCACCTCCATGCTGTAACGCAGTCGCCGGCCAGCCTGTGAACTCGCCGTGAAAGCAAAAAGGAGTGAAAAGAAACTGAGAGTCCTGCTCCCAGGCCTCGGTCTCATTGGACACTCTCTCTGGCTAGAGGAGCCTTGACCCCCGTGTGCCACCCAGAGGTCATCCGTCCAGGGAGACGAGCCTCCCTCTCCCCCTTTCTTTCCCGGGAGCCACCCCCTGACGACCCCTGGGGTGACCGGCCAGTGCCCCACGGCCCCACCGCGGCCCTCAGGTGCTCTGTCCCCCAGGGAGGGTATCAGACCCTCTGAGCAGTTCGAAGCCATTCCTGGTTAGTGATCCGAGAGGCCTGTGAGTCTGAGATGGTTCAGACAGGCCAGACCACAGAGGAAAGCAAACGCTCGGCATTAGCCATGTGGTTTCTATGAAAGAGTGGCTGTTTTCCTTGCGGGCATTAGCACCATCTAACCCCACAACACACAAGCAAACAGCCCTCGGGATGGGCATCCCGCTGGCCACACCCTGATCACGAGGACTCTGCTGCAGGAGAAACCATTTCTTTCATCCCATGGAGATGCCTTGGCACATGAAACCCCTGCCCAGGACACAGCGCTCCAATGAGGGAGGGCTGGTGTTTGCAGAAGGGCCCAGGCCTACTGGTCTGAGTGACAGCGACATGGTCCCAGGCCCGAGAGCCACCGGCGCTCGCCCAGCACCACTCAGGAGGACCAGAGCCTCCAGTCCCAGCTCCAGCCTGGTGTCCTCAGGGCCGAGACCGCCTCCTGAGGGAGGTCCCCGTCCCCCCATCCCCCCTGCCCCTCGAGCAGCACAGGCTCCGCCCTCCTCCTCGGGGTCCCACCGGGAACCCCATATGTCCTGCTGGGACCTTTCTGCCACGGATGCAGTGACCCTGCTCTCGGCTGGAGTACACAGCCCGTCCCCGAGCAGCTGCACAGAACAGGAAAGTGAAGCTGAAGGCTCCTCCATCCATGGGATTCTCCAGGCAAGGATACTGGAGTGGGGACTTCCCTGCTGGTCCACTGATTAAGACTTCGAGCACCCAGTGGAGGGGACATGGGTTCACTCCCTGGTTGAAGAACTGATATCCCACATGCTGCATGTTCAATAGATAAATAAAATAAAATAAAAAGTATACTGGAGTGGGTTGCCATATTTCCTTCTCCAGGGGATCTTCCCAACCCAGGGACCAAACCCGGGTCTCCTGCATTGCAGGCAGATTCTTTACCGTCTGAGCCACAAGGGAAGGTCCACGTAGGACAGGAACCTCCCCCCAAACGCATGGACCAGAAGGAGAACAGGGGGACCAGCACTGTTGCTGGGAAAACCTGGACAATGTTCTTGCTTTTCACCAAAACAGCCCCACCTCTGAGATTTTGTCTTGAAGCCCTGAGGGGGTTTCCCTTCAGACAAAGGCCTCGTGGCCGCTCCATCCAAGCAGCCCACCAAAAGGACAGCAGAAAGTTGTAAATGTGAGTCCACAAGCGCAGAAATCACCAAAGAGGGAGGGCAGGAGTCTGGGGAGGGCAGCGGGTGGCCGGGCAAAGCGGGGGGCCGAGTGTGAGCTCACGCTCCGCTTGAGGCTGGGGAGCCGTCAGAGGCCACCCCGAGCAGAGCCACCGATGCAGGAGCTGGAGCCCAGCCCCGCTGGGGGCTCAGCTGGTCAAGAACCCGCCTGCAGTGCGGAGACCCGCGTTCCGTCCCTGGGTTGGGAAGACCCCCTGGAGAAGGGAAAAGCTGCCCATGCCACTCTCTGGCATGGAGTATTCCACGGACGGCATAGTCCATGGGGTCACAGAGAGTCGGACACGACTGAGCGGCTTTCGCTTTCAGTTTCCCCTGTCCAGCCACAGATCCCCTGCTGGCCCGCACAGCAGAGGACAGGCTCTCTTTCTGGGGTGCACAGGCCATGGAAGGCCTGGCCTCCCCGAACACGGCTGGGGCCAAGTGATGGCCTGACCTGACCTGAGGGGTCCAGCAAGGCTCTCGTCCTGAACACCCCGGCTCCCAGGACACCGCCCGAGGCTTAAGGCCCGGGGCCCAGGAGACAAACCAGCGCTCCTCCTGAGAAAGGGCCCCCAGGCCCTGGTGTGGGGGGTCCTTCCATCAGGGACCAGCCCATCACCTCCTCCATCCAGCGGGCCCAGCACTCAGCAAGGCCTCCTCAGGGACCCCCTGAAAGTGAAAGTGAAGTCGCTCAGTCATGTCCGACTCTGTGCAACCCCATGGACTGTAGCCCACCAGGCTCCTCCGTCCATGGGATTCTCCAGGCAAGAATACTGGAGTGGGTTGCCCTTTCCTTCTCCAGGGGATCTTCCCCACCCAGGGATTGGAACCAGGTCTCCCACACTGCAGGCAGACGCTTTACCGTCTGAGCTACCAGGGAAGCCCACAGACCCCCAGTCCCTCTCACTTGGCTCACTCTTCAGCTGCCAGAGGCTGGAAGATACACAAGGAAACACCTGTTAGGTTAGAAGTATGCGGGGGGAACAGAGAGAATATAAGGTGCTGAAGGAATTTTTTAAAGCAATAATCACCCCTGATATTGATAAGAAATGATATTGCACCTGTAAAAAACCTGAAGGGTCCCCTCTGGGAGAAGCGGGCAGCAGGGATGGGGTGTCTGCTGCCCTGTGAAACCACCGTGATCGAAACCTGGGCACTGCAGCTGGGTGTGGCCGTGAACACTACGGCCAGTGAGCTACAGAGACGATGTGTGCTGCTTCCGGATGGCGCCCACTCCTGCGCCCTGCTGCGTGGAACGTAGACCAAGCAGCAGGTCACCTGCAGACCAAAGGAAGGTAATTCACGGGGGAGGCAGAAAGAGAGAGAAGGAACCTGCGTCCTTGGAGGGCCGCAGGGAGCAGAGACATCTTCGTAGCCTGGGACCCTTTGTCTTTGGATTACAACATAAAAGAGAGAAGATTTTTGTGTCTGCCATGGTCACTAAGGTATCTCTGTTACATCCAGCCAAGCCAATATTCTCAATAATACTGTATGTGAAAAAACTGATGAGTGGCATTAATGACTTAGCCTGGAAGAAAATACGAGGCACTTTCATCACCCTCAAATCCCCTTCTGCTGGCTGTTTAATCAACCCCACCCTCAACCCCCACGAGGCCACTTTTCTGATTTCTGCTCCTCTTGAGTTACCTTTAGCTGAGTGTCATACAAACGGAACCAGTGCGTTTCCCAGCTGGCTTCTTTCGCGCCGTGTGACACACTCGGGCTCCGTCCGCGGTGCTGTGTGGCTCTGGTCGGTCCCCCTTTTCTGCCACGTGCCCTTTGCACAGACGGATCACCATTCGCTCGGTCACTTGCCACCTGAAGAGCATTTGCGTTGTTCCTCGTTTGGGGCAGTGAGGAATAAAGCCACTCTAAATGTTCGTGGACACTTAGGACACTTAGGGACCTTAAGGGAAGGTAGCTTTTTATTTCTCGTGGGTGTCTCTCGAGGAGCTGAATGTCTCGTTGTAAACCCCTATTAAGCATCCCGTAAGAAGCCACCGCACTGCCTTCCAAGGTGACTTGCAGCTTTGACTCCCACCTGCCGTGAACCAGGACTCCTGTGTCTCCACGTCCTCACCAGCACTAGGTATTGGCAGTATTTTTTGTTTGTTTTGATTTTTAGCCTTTCCACTGGTCTCCTATGGTTTTAATTTGCATCTCCCTGATTCACTAGTGAAGTTGAGTGTCTTTTCATGTACTTATTTGTCATTCATGTATATTCTTTACAGAAGCATCTATTCAAATCTTCTGCCCATTTTTATATCCTTTGCCTACTTATTATTGAATTTTGAGATTTAGCTACATATTCTGAATTTGCGAGTCTTTTTCAGAATATGGTTTGCAAAGATTTCCAGCTTGTGGCTTGCCTTTTCCTTTTCTTAACAGCATCTTTCATAGAGGAGTTCTTAATTTCGAAGTTCAGCTTACTGGGTTGTTTTTTCTTTTTTGGTCTGTGATTTTTGATATCACACCTGAGTTTTCACCAAATCCAAGATCATAAAGATATACGCTCCTATGCTTTCAATTAGGAAGTTTTCTGTTATTCCTGTGTGTGTGTGCTCAGTCACTCAGCTGTATATGACTCTTTGTGATCCCATGGACTATAGCCCACCAGACTCCTTTGTCCATGGAACTTTCCAGGCAAGAATTGCAGAGAAGGTTGCCATTTCCTTTTCCAGGGGATCTTCCCAACCCAGGGATTGAAGCTGTGTCTTCTGCATTGCAGGTGGATTCTTTACGTTGTGAGTTGTCTGGGAAGCCCTCTGTTATTCCTACAGGTATTTAAAGTTAATTTTAAGAGCTTGTTGGAACAAAGGAAGCAATGAAGGAAATAAAATGGGAGGGGGAACAAATGAGCCGTTATCAAGTAGAGAAGAACTGGAAAGCCACGCAAATTTTCTGGATGGCTTAGCTTGTGGGAGTGCTAGCCGTAATGCTAGGAAGATGCAATTAAAGCCGAATTCATAAAATCATTTCTATAGGGCAAACATATTCAGAAAATCACAAAGCAAATCAGTAAAATTATGAAATTTCTTTAAGCCACTGAAAAAGAGGGGCAGGTATGGGAATGCACTGGAGAGTAGCCTTTCCTTGACACCTGCTGGTCACTGTACTGGCTCGCTGTTGGTCTGGGCGCGTCACTGGCAGGGAGGGGCATGAAGAGGCCCTTTACGGTGCTGTCAGCACAGTTGCTTCCAGAGCAGAGGTGGGAGACCTCCTCATTTCATCACAGGAAACTCTCGGGAACCAACCGTGATGATGCGCACACATGCGGATGGTGACTTGGTGCTTTTTTAAAAAAGTTCTGAGTTGCAGGCCGAAAAATAAAGATACATAAATGTCTTTAAAGTTTAAATCACAAAAGTGGGGGGTGGGAATCTCACTGGATCACCACTTCCCAGAGAAAAGAAACCAG